ATTTGTCCCATACAGCATAAAACTTCTAAATCTTCCTTCAAAATTGTAATAGTGAAATCTATGATGAGGCACGAGTGATTATTATATCATGAACTTTGATTATGATATAATTCAACATTATATTCTGATTAGCTTGGCATTGTGTATATATACTTTAAATTATTTGCTGTTAGATGCTTGTATTGGCTCTTTGAATGCAAAACAAATTTCCCTTACGGGACAATAAACTTTATCTTATTTTATCTTATCTTAGTAATTTGCCTAAGGTGTTACCGCATTGGTGCATCGTTGTGGGTTAGGACAGAAGTCCTAGAAACTCTCAGGAGTCAAGCTGCCAAACACGGTCACCCATCCAAGTACTCTCCGTGCCCCAACGTTGACTGACATTGCCTGATTTGTGATCTGCATGCTATGCACAAGTCCACACACCATCACAAAACACTCAAATACTTTCAACATGTTGAGGGAAAAGCCTAACCATATTTTACATGTCTAACACCTCAATGAAAGTCATGAGAATTGGTATAATACTGACAAGGTATGTTTTTGGTAAATGAATTGTATTGATATATGTTGCAATATGTACAGTGTTCACGAATGGTGTTTCAAAGTAACAGGACTTTCGGTCCTGTAAGATTCAGATGTCTGCCTGACCCATTGAAAATTCACAGGACCCATAGAATAAAATTAAACACACATTTTAGATTTAATATTTCTTATATTGGCATTGAAATTATTAACAAACATAAGATTTATAAACAGCAAACAAGTATCACATGTCACATATAACAACTTCAGTCAAAGTCATTGTAAAATATACAGTCAGACACTGGGGCCGGCGGATTGTAGACTTCTATCGGACCGTTGGCGAATCTGCCGGATTTGTGAGAGGGTCAGACACTATTTGTGAACACTGATGTATTGTGATGTATTGGTAGCTGAAACATTGTACACAAAGATTCTTTTTTTCTACATACTAAGGACAATAAAATATATTTTGGTTATCATAACAGCAATCTCAAAATTAGGTTGATAAGGAATTCTTTCCTTCATATTTATACAATTTACAAAATGTAAAGTAAGCTGTTTTGAACTACAAAGGGAAACATCAGATGTGTATGAAAGTCTGTGTAAATTTTAATTTAAACCATAGTGATAATCACAAAACATGTCATATTTTTTCACCTATACTTGGTACACACAAAAAATATTGTAATGTGTATCATTTGAAAAAGGTTTTTAGCTACTGGTGTATACGTGATACCAAGCAGTCCTTATACTAATGAACCAAGGAACACATATCTCATAATAATGATTGGAAACAAGAGTTAATTGTGTCCTTTCGACCAAACACAGTGTTCACGAATAGCGTCTGACCCTCTGACAAATCCGGCAGATTTGCCAACGGTCCGATCGAAGTCTACAACCCGCCGGCCCCAGTGTCTGACTGTATATTTCACAATGACTTTGACAGAAGTTGTTATATGGGACATGTGACACTTGTTTGCTGTTAATAAATCTTATGTTGATTTATAATTTCAGTGCCAATTATAAGAAATGCTAAATCTGAAATGTGTGTTTAATTTTATTCCATGGGTCCTGTGAATTTTCAATGGGTCAGACAGACATCTGAAACTTACAGGACCCAATGTCCTGTTCCTTTGAAACACGATTCAGTGAACACTGCAAACATGATAAAAAGACGGACATAACTAAAATGCAAGCTTTTCATTATTTCATTCCATATGAAAGTGGTATTATATTGCAAGGTAATGTCATTTTATCATGTTCTTGATCTATCCTCTGACATGAAGGATATACATTTCAGCTACTGAGGTGTCAGGCAAGCTCGTTATCAACAGGTAGCACCAGTCACACTGTGTTAATAGCTGTCAATCATGCTGTTAGCACACAATCAGCATTCATTATGAAGCTCAACTACTGCTGAACATAGTAAAAGTTGTTTGTTTATTTTAGTCTCATCTTGTACATACAAATAATGTATACATAAATTCATAGAGCTGTGCATGAACAAGCTGCCAGAAGGCTATAGGAGACTTAAAGAGCATTAAAGTAAGTGAGATGGATAAAATTATTAAAATAAATTACATAATATTATACAGTTGAAATAAAACATGACACATACACATGCACACATGCACACACACACGCACGCACGCACGCACACAGAGTATCAATGGTAAACACAGAGGCGGTCACAGAGATACGGGTGTTAAGGTAATATTTACCTCCATATCTGACTGTCAGACTAAATCTTAATCACTTATCACAATTTAACAGAATTCAAACATGACGATAAAGAGATAGTTTGTAAACAAGTGTTTACAGTTTAGCATGTCTGGTGAATGTCTCCTGGAGACCTGCTGAGCCAACTGATAAGTTACATGTTTGAAACAAAAACTCCTCTCCTGTTACCAAGGTAACTAACATAGCTAATATTTTTATGACAATGACATTGACAATATGTCAGCCCTTGCCTGATTGAGTACATAAGAATCGACTGTAAATTTTACGATTTCGAAAGATATGACCAATATTTAGATACAGAACATTGGCTGACAAAAAACTCATAAATTAAATTTCCTGATTGAGTACATAAGAATCGACTGTAAATTTTACAAAAGATAAGACCAATATTTAGAACCAGAACATTGGTTGACAAACAACTCATAAATCAAATTTTCTGTACAAATAACTGTCTTTTTCATCTGTGTTAGTTACAGTTCCAGTTTCTTGAGCAAATACAAGTTTATCATTGTTAATAGCCATAACTTGTTTCTTATCTTCAGTGAGTTCAATGCTGCATGAACAGTATTCAAGTTGGATTAACGAGTGTCAGCATAATGAAGAGGAAAGCTGAGAGGGAAATGCAATTTTTTTGAAGGGTGCCATAGGGCACCAGACAGATAATTAAGATGTGCCTTTTAAAGAAAAAAAGCATGCCTATATGTCTATACCTTTTGACAATCCAATTAAACTTAAAACATCACAACAAATATGTTTTTTCACTTCATTCAGGTCTTTGAATGGCATTTAAAAGCGATACTAATAAGGAAGAATTTTTACGGATGTCAACTTCTTTATTAGGAGAAACATGACATTTTGGAGTCCATAGAAATTTTCTTCCTTATTTCAATTCATTGTTTAATAGATCAGTTATCATCACTTAAACCTAAACATTTGAGAGCTGGATTTCTTAAATACTATCAAGACTGAAAGAATAGTTGAGTTTCATTTGTCTTGGACCCATAAACAAACCCACATTTTCTGTTATGTGCTCTGGCATTAAAAATGGCCACACCCATGTTAAGCTGTGAGACTGAGAATGCCACAGATAAACAATTTGACAGGGTGCTAAAGTAGGTTTTGAATTTTGGGGTTCGTCAAATTTATCAGATTTTCCATTAAATGAGTCTCATTTTTATAAATTTAGTCATGCCGATAGGACACACTGAAAATATTTCATCCGTGCCATTTCAATATTTACTGTGCCATGGCATGCAAATTAAGCTATTTTCAATTCCAGGAGAGCATAAAGTGATGTTGGTCTTAAGACATTTACCCCTTTCATTGTAACTTACAATCACATGCATGGCAGGGACAAACCTACAAATTGGGTGAGGTGAGGTGAAATTGGGTTTTACGTCGTGCTTGAGAATATTTCGCTCATATGACGATGTGCATGCGTGTGTATGTGTAGGTGCGACTGCTTGTACTAGCCCAGACTTAAGCTGGTTTTATAGTACTAGCCCACTGAGATACCATGCCGCAGTGAAGCATGAATACCCCACTCTGACTCATTATACTGACTCCGAGCCGACCAGTCCTTGTTGTACCCATTAATGCCGAGCGCCAGGCAGGGACCAACAAGTACCATATTTTAACGTCTTTTGGTATGACGCGGTCAGGGATCGAACCCACGACCTTCCGCTCTCCGGGCGGACACTCTAACCACTACACCACGGAGGCGGTCCTACAAATTGGGGCGAATGTGGATGTGAATCAATGATCATAGATTTCTGGCATGCCAAAGTCACACGGTGAATTATGCCTTAGACAACTGGGTCACTTGTGCCTCCTCTTATCTGTATCCTGAATATTTTCACATGGAAATGGAAATGATTTTGACACATACTTAAATCAACAAAGACAATTAGAGCATATAGACTCAAAGTATCAGCCTATCCTGGTCCTCGAAACAGGATACAATGCTGAATCACCATCACAGTCAGTCACATCATCCTCCTCTTGCAGCTTGCAGTGGTCAAACTTGACTAATCACAAGTATGTTGGATTTAGACTATCAGTGGAAGGACAGGTCACAAGTGTCCTATTTGGTATACAGAATCACTGTAGCATATCATGAAAACTAACTCTGGATAAAAACTTGTTTCTACCCTTCTGTGTACAGATTATACAAAAAGGCAAAACAATATTCCGTTTGCAAGATGATTTTTCTTGGACATAAAATGACAGTCATGCTGAAGATATTGTTTTAAATTTGGTGTAGTTATTGAGGGCTGTCAAACTGCTACTGAAAAAATTGTGTCATATTTTTTGTCTTGTGCCATAGTTACACAATGTTTAATATCAAAGCCTTCAAAATGAACAGCAAACATTAGCAGCTGATCAAACCATATACACCCACAAAGTGTTTTCTTTTAAAAGAATCAGAGTTATATTTGCGATATTATTGAAGCACTGACAAAATGATAAACAACGACAAACTTGAAATAGTATCCGACACTGAAAGCGTATGCGCGTCTTACAAGGCTTGCGACATCGATTTCAAAGGAGACGCCCCTTCGTAAAGATCGCCATTTGAAATGCTAGAGATGATGTAAATAAACATACATTGTATACGATGTGATATTATGGCTAATGGAAGAACAATTAACAGCTACAATAAATGACATGGCAAATCACAGTCTAATTTTATCAAAACATAACTATTTGAAGACGGAAGTGACAGTTCTTACCTGCCAACAAAATTTTCAAGCACACTTGATTTTCCTGCACTTTGACTTCCAACAACGGCGATCTGAGGCAAATCCAGGGAAATTGGGACTCCTAGTAAAGCAAACGCATCCTGCAGTTTGTTCACAATAGGAATTAAATTTTCCATACCCACGTTTCCCGACATTTTGACAGTTTTTTAGTGGGATATTAGACTAAAAATTTATATATTCGGCATGGCGGAAATACGACGACCCTCTATGATGTAAGCGACATCAGAATAATTTATCTCAGCAGTGTTTCTTTCCGCATACACAAACAGTATTCACATTGTCTACAGATAATTTAGCACAAAACGTATTAATAGAGTCTCTCCCGAGCTACCGATTCAAAGGAAACAACAGTTCAAAATGATCTTGTACGTAAGCGGACAGTGAATAAATTTATAGGTCAAAGTGAGTACTAATTTCCCTACAACTATTCACATATCTTAACTCCATTGATAAACAACTTCAGTCGAACCATTTCTTCAATAGATAGGACTCACCCTAACAAACTTTAAATAATCCTAAAAAGGACTGACTGATGGTGGGTCTGTGTCATATTTCACCATTTGCCTCACATATAACCCCACACCCACACCCACACCCACCCGTTATGCATTTCACACCGGACTGTCATTTATATGTGTGGTTAAAGTAATGCCAAACAAAAACTATACATTCTGAAGACCTTCTGACAAAACATCACCTGTCTTGTCTTACTATTCACCTACTCTATTCAAATTATTTTATCTTGATATGTATTGTTAATATTGTTCTCATTTTCTTTCCAATTGTCAGTTTAAATTCATTCGTTAATACAGTTGAATAGGAATTACATGACACACACTGCAATTAAGGAAACCAAGTAAATTAACACTTGATGTCTTTTTAACTGCCCATCACCAAAATAAAGCTAAGTCGAATGAAGTACTGTAAACACAACATGATATTAACAGCAGTCGACTAGATAGTAGCATAATGAAATTCGCCATAGGTCACGGTTTTGCCGGATTGCTAACAAGAAGCTTTGACTCAAACCTAAAAATGGATAGATAATACCGTATATTTAGCAAATGATTTCGCAAATCGTGTTATGGATAATGACGCATGTTTTCTAATTAAGTAATCGTAGCTGTGCGTTTTAACCAAATAAGGAAGTAAACAGCTCGTAAAACACCCGTTGCCATCTCGTGGCATTGCATGCTGCCATAGACACTGGTTGCAATGAGATGGGAACATAGGCACCCGACTCTAATGTATTTATAAGCATGACCTATATATAGAATTATATCTTATATATATAGGTCATGCTTATAAAAAAAAATATATCAGAGTGGGGCGCCTATGGATGGGAAGGTCTAATTATGCGATTTAGAAATTAATAAAATAAGCATTAAATTAGAAACTATTTTGTTTATCTTCAGTATTTCTCAGAAACGATAGTGAGTGAGTTAAGTTTTGCACCGATTTTAGCAATATTCCGGCAATATCACGGCGGGGGGACACCAAGAATGGGCTTCACAAAAATTGTTCTCATGTGGGGAATCGAAGGTCTCGGCGTGACGAACGAACGCATGAACCACTATAGGCTACCCCACCTCCCCTCAGAAATGATGGAGATGCCATGCATCGACGTAATGGGACTTGGTTGACACATGTCATCGTATCCCCAATGCGCAGATCGATGCTCATGTTGTTGGTCTCTAGTTTGTCTGGTCCAGACTCGATCATTTATAGTGAGTGAGTTTAGTTTTACACCGCACTCAGCAATAGTCCAGCTACATGGCGGAATTATTCACAGACCGCCGCCATATAGCTGGAATATTGCTGAGTGCGGCGTTAAACGACAAAGTAATGGGTAAAAATCCAAGTCCTTCCTAAATCGTATTTGCCACAGAGAAGCAAACGTATACATTGTAATTTCAAACTGGCTTGTTTATGTTGATTACGACATCGATATTTGTCCTATCTATAAATGGTGATGACGCACAGATGTAACCTTTGGCAAATAAAGGGTTACTACATACCCTGACGTGTATGTTACAGTGTTAATATACGTCTACAATTATACACCCTCCTTATTACCGTCCAAAAAATGTGTTAGCATTCCTCAAGAAACAAAGAAAGGGGTTGGGTTGCACATCCGTGCATCCCCTTTCCGGATAACATCTAAATGTGAAAGTGTCTAACATGCCCAAGAAACAAAAGGAGTGGGTGGAAGTGCGCACCCTGAATCATTGCTGACTGATATTTTTCATCATTCTGATTCCGCATTCTGATTCAACTGATGGTGTTTAAAAACTTATTCACTAAGCAGGAAATCTTTTACTTTCAATGTTATGTCCCTCCTTCGCAGTTTATCAACTTCAGTTTAATTGAAATACGATTAATTACATTTCAGAATTAGTTGAAAAAATAAACTAAAATGGTGTTAAGTGGCTTGGACTGTTTTAATAATAATAATAATAATAATAATAATAACATATAAGTGAAATCTTTATATATAAAGTGAGTTTCAAAATACATAACTAAACTCAGATTAAAGTTTTGATAAGGACTTCAGATTTATTTATTTCTTGATGCTGAAATGTTTGAATGTGTACGGATATTGTTTCGTGCCGCAGTACCAACATTTCTTCTGTCCACAGTTGGACTCGTTTACTAAAAGGGGCGGTGGGGTAGCCTTATGGTTAAAGCGTTGGCTCGTCACGCCGATGTGTAAAGCCATTTCTGGTGTCCCCCGCCGTGATGTTGCTGGAATATTGCTAAAAGCGGCGTAAAACCAAACTCAGTCAGTCAGTCAGTTTACTAAAAATTACTTCCTCATCACCTTCGTTTCAAATTCAAACAATGACCTAGTTTCCTCTCAAATTCCTCATGATGATGCGCTAGCGCTCTTGAACCGTAGCGAAGGCGTGGCGTGTATTGAAATATACCATAGGACCTCCAGTATGTGCCGCCAAAACATGTAATTATTACCAGGAAATAGAAGCATTACAAAGAGATGTTTGTTTATGTCGCTGATTCATCGTACTTGTATATACGCAGCGGGTGATAACTGTCAAGAGTCACGAACTGTGACGAACTATGTTCACCAAGTTCACGTGAATCAAGTGCGCTTTCGCATCATCAAGAGAAAACCGAATTTAAAGCTGTGAAAAACATCTTCCGCTTCCTTTCAACCATATTGATATTTTTAAGGAATATTATTTTACGCATCGCTGTATATATATTTTCAGAAAAAATATAAATAGACGATTATTACAGTTCAGTGTGTTAGTTAGTAGTTTTTCTTGTGTACAAGTGCTTAGACCGATACTCATGATTGTCACTAGATTGTTAGGCACAGACTAATCTTTGCCCATCGCAGTCTTAGGAGTTCGATACATGAGTAGATTAACGCAGAACACATGATACCCGCACTTTTGTTGTATGCTGGGAGATAAATGAGTGAGTGGGTATGGTTTTACGCCCCTGTAGCAATATCTGTAGAGATGGGGGGAGGTTGGGGCATCACATATTGTACCCATGTGGGTAATCGAACCCGGGTCTTTGACGTGACCACTAGGTTTATTGTACTCGTTAAATTTCATGCGTAAATTAAACTTTTTATCTTGTACGATGACGTCATCTGGAGGCTGCTGACCACAGTACCGGACTATTGTGGGGTTCAGTGACCATGATTTCGGACAAGGACCTTTTTCTAGCGCGAACCCCGTACCAAATATTGTTTCGCCATAAAATCAGCTGGTAATGGTATAGAACCAAGGTTTAAAGGGACAGTGACCTATGGCTAATGTAAAACAGATTTACTTTAGTATACGTAAATATTTTATGATTGGTAGTTTAATTGAGCAGCTGGGATTGTTAGTGGCTGTATCCTCACAGGGGGTTGAAGCACTGTAAAAGTATTGTCCTCCTGAGGGGGTACGTAAGTCCCAAAACATTCAAACTAAATTTAAACATACCATTAGTTTTAATCGTAGAATATGTGTTATTTTAACTTATGGCTAATTTGTCTAAACTTGCTGACGGCTGAAGGGATGGTGTAAATCCAGCTAGGGTCCATGCAGGAAGCAAATGTACTGTAAGTCCCCATGGTCCCTAGTATGGTGATCTACCTTCAGTCGTTAGCAATCTACAGCCTGTTTTTATATTGTATTGTCATTTCTAGTTCCAATATTTTAGATTTCATTGCTAGTTTTAAATGGATATCTGTGATACACTAGTAGTTTTACTGTTCTTCGTCGGCAGGTTTTTCTAATATCTGTATATACATTCTATTTAAATGTCAAATGTTCTCGTCACGATATGGCTGAAATATTGCCGATGTGACGTTAAATATTAACTCACTCACTCACTTTAGTATACGGCACATACGTGTACGTTATATATTTGACAACAATGAAGTTTCGTTCATAATCCCAAGACATCAACGACTCTTCAGCGTTTCTTGCAACTAAATTGAACATCAGTTACTCCATTGCCTTCCGCTGTTTGGTGGTATAATCTACGCCTGTTGATTTGTCATCATTCACTTGATGCTCAGTTATGCTAGGTTCACACTGTCCGACGATTCGATTGGCCATTCGCAGCTGATGGTGGAACCTCTCTGAAATTTCTGGTTTGGATACGAGGTGATGTGATACGATACGATTTGGTGCGCTTGGATGCGCTGTTGTCACGATCTGATCTCCCGTTCAGATACGATCACATATGTTGTGATAAGATTGTCACCATGGAGTTCACGATTGGGTCGCGATCTGACACGATCATCACGATCTGGGTCCCGATTTGGGACGATCTGGTACGTTCCGATACGTTCATCACGAACCGATGTACTCTGTATTATTATATTAGACCAAATATGTATAAAATGAATATCCTATTTAACACCAAGAAACTAGGAACTTTGAGAAAACTTTCAATTTTTTGTAAAATAATTATGGCTTTATTTAAGAAATAATTTGAATAACTTAATATGTAACTAGCTCGATGTACATTGCACCTATCATACCGTTTGTATATACTTTTTATGTTGTATAAATGTAAATATTATTTATGTACCTCTTAGGCTGCAGTTTGCAGCCTGAGTGAATAAAGTTCAGTTCAGATAGGATACGATTGTGGTTGCGATGTCTTTCACGATCACGATCGAGGTGATCACGATTTGACCCCGACGGGTATATGGTGACCTCCCACTTTGCCAGTTTCATTGTCAAGCAATTAATTAAAGTTAATGGTGCAACTATGGGGATTAGTAGGGAATTAAAACTCAAGTCCGTTCAACACATTACCAATTTATTTCATTTTACGAATGTTACAAAAATATATGTGATTCATGTTATAGAAGAAGTTACAGCTATACAAAAATAAACAAATTA